AAAAACTCTCGAAATCACAGACACAGGCAAAGATTTCCCAAATTGGACTCAGTGGCACAGGAAATAACAGCAAAAATCAACAAACATCTACATCAAATTAAAAAAAGCTTCTGCACAGCAAGGAACAACCACCACAGTGAAGAGACCACCTACAAATGGGAGAAAACCTTTCCCAGTCACTCTTCCAAACAAGGATTAATATCTGGAATATATAAAGAACTGAAGGAAAAAACAAACCAAAAAAGGCCCAATCAATAAATGGGCAAATGAATTAAAATGACACTTCTCAAATAAGTACAAATGTGTCCAGTAAGTACATGAAAAATGTTCAACATCTTTAGCAATTAGAGCAATGCAAAACAAACCTAGTTTAAAAAAAAAAAAAAACAGGAGCTGGGGAGGTAGCTCAGTGGTCTAAGCACCTGCCTGGCAAGTGCAAGGTCTGGAGTTTGATCCCTGGTACTGCATGCCAAGCCAGTCCCAGAACCCCAGGCACACCATGCCAGCCCCGACACTGGGCATGGTGGCGCATGCCTGTAATTCCAGTGCTGGAGAGGCTCAGACAGGAGGATCAAATATCAATTGCATAGTGAGACCCTATAACCAATAAATAAATAAATAAAAAGAAAAAAAAATTTTTTTTAAAATGATCAAAAATAAAACATACAGGGCTGGGGAGAAGGCTCAGTAGAATAAGCACTTGCCTGGCAAGTGCAAGGTTCTGAGTTCAATCCCCAGTACCGCCCAAAAAAAATAAAATAAAACAGTAATTGCTAATTTACTGGATGTAAAGAAAAGGAACCCTTATACACTGTCAGTGGGAATGTAAATTAGTAAAGCCACTGTAGATGTTTCCTACCAAAAATGAAAAACAGAACTACCACATGACTCACTATCCCACTCCTGGGTATACACCTGAAGAATTAAAGTCAGCATGCTACAGGGATACCTTCATGCCGGTGTTTACTGCAGCGCAATTCACAACAGCTACGATGAAGAACCAATGGATGAACAGATGAAGTGTGGTATATTTACACAATGGAGAATTATTCATCCATAAAATTGAAATCATGTCAGTTGTAGCAATCATGATAAACAAAGTAAGCCAGACTCAGGAAGACAAGTAGCTCATATTTCTGCTAATATGTGACTTAAAAAAAAAGCATGAAAGGGTATTGTTATTGGACAATAAGAAAGCACTGAAGGAGAGTGGTGTCTGTAGGGGTAATGAGGGAGAGATTGGCTATGCCATAATATATATCATGCATAAATAAAAAATACTACATCAAAACCCACTGGGCATGGTGGTACATGCTTGTAATCCCAGTACTTGGGAGACTGAGATGGGACTGCCATGAGTTCAAGGTCAACCTGAGCTACATGAGGAGTTCAAGGACAGTCTGAACTACACAGTGAGACCCTGTCTCAAAAAACAAAACAAAACAAAACAAAAAAACAGTATGCTGGAGCCAGAAAGATAGCTTAGCAGGGGATAGGGAGATAGCTTGGTGGTCTAAGCGCCTGCCTGGCCAGCACAAGGACTTGGGTTCGATTCCCCAGCACTGCATGCCGCGTGCCAAATAAAGTTGGGGCTTTTTTTTGGTTTTTTTGC